TGACTGGACAAATAGAAATATCTATTTTCGTAATCTTTCTTTACCTCAGTCTTAGTATACACAATGAAAGCCACAAGAGAATTTGAACTGTAGATTTATAAATAAGAATGACCTACCACAGGCTTTGTTAGGAGGTATTCAATTCTTCTAAAGCACACACTGTTTTACTCAAAGTTTCATACCCAGCAGAGTAGGAATATAACACATCTTCCCATATAACCAATCCAAAGCTTGGAAGGTAAACAAAATATAAGTATGGATTTGTATTCAAGTGTTACTTTTTTATTTTTAAAAGTAGAGAATACAGTCTATACAATAAAATAAAAAAGTATACCAATCCACTTACCCTGACACACTGTATGACAATTACAAGATTATCAACGACAAGGATCGACTAAACAGTCCAAAGATGAATGTAGTAAACTTTTCACATAGAACTAATACAAACACTGATTTCACAATAAAGTCAGGACTACACAATCATATAGGTACAATCCATGGGATCAAACTTAAAAACAGTTTACTCATACTGCACATGTAATTTCAGGAGGATTTTTTGGTTACTGTCCATATTTATTTATAAGAATAAACACAATAAAACAAAGGGCAAGAAAAACACCCATACAAATACAACTAAACTCTACCATCACACAATGAACAGATGTCATAAATGACAATAGTACAGGTCAAAGTCAAAATGCCCTACAACCCCACTCACCCGCAGTCCCCCTACAACCCCGCTCTCATCCGCGGTCCCCCATACAACCCCGCTCTCACCCTACAACCCTGCTCTCACCTGCGGTCCCCCCCTACAACCCCGCTCTCACCTGTTGACCCCTACAACAAAATTAACAGAAGCAAGCAAAATTGACAGTAGAAATGGCTGTGACAAATAAATAGTCAAATGTCACTAGCTTTGCATTGCTTTTCTAGGTTAAAACAGAAAAAATGCATCATTTTGCACTTTTTTTGGAGAGAAAAAAAAAAAAAAAGATTTGCAGTAGTAGTGCCTGGTTGATACCTGGTTACCTGGTTGATGGGGGTTCTGGGAGTTCTTCTACTCCCCAAACCCGGCCCGAGGCCAGGCTTGACTTGTTCAAGCTTGGTCCACTAGGCTGTTGCTTTACCCACCACAGCCCAGTTGGTCCGGCACTTCTTGAAGAAAACAGTCTAATTTTCTCTTGAAGATGTCCACAGTTGTTCTGGCAATATTTCTTATGCTCGCTGGGAGGATGTTGAACAGTCTCGCCTCGGGGCCTCGTAGCCTGGTGGATAGCGCGCAGGACTTGTAATTCTGCGGCGTGGGTTCGATTCCCGCACGAGGCAGAAACAAATGGGCAAAGTTTCTTTCACCCTATGCCCCTGTTACCTAGCAGTAAATAGGTACCTGGGTGTTAGTCAGCTGTCACGGGCTGCTTCCTGGGGGTGGAGGCCTGGTCGAGGACCGGGCCGCGGGGACACTAAAGCCCCGAAATCACCTCAAGATAACCTCAAGAAGTCGCGGACCTCTGATGATTATACAGTGTTTTCTGATTATGCCTATGGCACCTCTGCTCTTCACTGGTTCTATTCTGCACCTGCTTGATGGGGTTCTGGGAGTTGTTCTACTCCTCAAGCCTGGCCTGAGGCCAGGCTCGACTTGTGAGTTTGGTCCACCAAGCTGTTGCTTGGAGCGGCCCGCAGGGCCACATACCCGCCACAGCCCGGCTGATCTGGAACTTCTCTTAGAAAATAGTCCAGTTTTCTCTTGAAGATGTCCACGGTTGTTCAGGCAATATTTCTTATAGTCACTGGGAGGACGTTAAACAACCGTGGACCTCTGATGTTTATACAGTGCTCTCTGATTGTGCCTATGGCACCTCTGCTCTTCACTGGTTCAATCTTGCATTTTCTTCCATATCCTTCACTCCAGTACGTTGTTATTTTACTGTGTAGATTTGGGACCTGGCCCTCCAGTATTTTCCATGTGTATATTATTTGGTATCTCTCTCGTCTCCTTTCTAGAGAGTACATTTGGAGATCTTTGAGACGATCCCAATAATTTAGGCGTTTTATCTCGTCTATGCGTGCCGTATATGTATTCCCTCTATTTCAGCAATCTCTCCTGCTCTGAAGGGGGAAGCGAGTACTGAGCAGTACTCGAGACGGGACAACACAAGTGACTTAAAGAGTACAACCATTGTGATGGGATCCCTGAATTTGAAAGTTCTCGTAATCCATCCGATCATTTTTCTGGCTGACGCACTTTTGCGTCAAGGCGTCAGTGCAAGGCTACTACGCAGGTGCAGTGCTACAAGAGCTCTCCAGCACCTCTGCAAGTAGATGGAGTGGGAGAGAGAATGAGGGGAAAGGGAGATGCTTGCTTGTGGTTGACCATATCAGGAAAATTAGTTTTACATCACTAGCGAGTTAATGATATATTTTTTTAAGATTCAATAACATTCAAATTTTTATATACTATAAAAGTAAACAGGCTGAATTGCAGATGCGCGTGAATGCTTCCTGTCAATTTATGCGAGAAAAACTATACAAGACAAAGTTGCCAACCTACCACTTTGGATACGAATATTCAGCGATGATCAAAAAGAAAGAAAGAAGGAAGAAAAAAAAGGAAACCTATCCACTGTTAGACTTCAGGAATGATAAACTTGGGTGTAAAGTATGTGCAAACATGAGCAATGTAAGAGACATGGCAGCTGAATGGACAGGGCTTCCGACTTGTAGTCCTGAGGTTTCAGGTTCGATCACCAGTGGAGGCAGAAACAAATGGGCAGTGTCTCTTTCACCCTGATGCCCCTGTTACCTAGCAGTAAATAGGTACTTAGGCATTAGACAGCTGCTACAAGCTGGTTCCTGGGGATGTGTACCAAAAAGGAGGCCTGGTCGACAACTGGGCCGCAGGGTTGCTAAGCCCTGAAATCATCTCAAGATAACAGATGTATTTAATGAACAATGAAATACTTAATCGTGTGATATATTTAGAAACAGGATAGAAAATTTCATGTTTTTTTCAGGATCACCAGAGCTCCAGCATCTATAAAATTGGCACAGCACCCCTTGTTAAAACTGCATGTAAATAATAACAGGAGACAGTTCAAAACCCGAGGTGGTTCTAAACGTATTGTACTCTTAACCGGGTTAAGAGTACCTGTACAATAACCGGGTTAAGAGTACCTGTACAATAACCGGGTTAAGAGTACCTGTACAATAACCGGGTTAAGAGTACCTGTACAATAACCGGGTTAAGAGTACCTGTACAATAACCGGGTTAAGAGTACCTGTACAATAACCGGGTTAAGAGTACCTGTACAATAACCGGGTTAAGAGTACCTGTACAATAACCGGGTTAAGAGTACCTGTACAATAACCGGGTTAAGAGTACCTGTACAATAACCGGGTTAAGAGTACCTGTACAATAACCGGGTTAAGAGTACAATACAATACCAAGTATAGACTTTTGCCAGGATGCAACCTGCAATAATGCTTAACTCCTATGCAACCATTTTACTGCTAGGTGAAAAGAAATGTCCCCAACAGTTTCTGTCCTGCCATATGACTGAATCGAGTCTCCCAATTGTAAGCCAAGGTTGGGTTGGGTTAAGTAGACTGTTAAATCCGTTAGGTAGACTGTTATATCCCTTAGGATTTAACAGCCTACCAAAGTAACCTGTATCCAGGTGACCATACAGTGTGGGAGGAATATATTGGTTGCTTACAAAAACGTACTTGAACAGCCGAGAACAATATCTCACAGAACAAATGTCTCTTATACAGGAGATTCATGAGGCGTATTAGGTTTGCTAACATTAACGCAAGAACTCTGATAACTTTTACATTACCCAAATTATAAAAAACACCGATACTGAAGGTTTAACAATCAGCTGATCCACCCATTCATTGACCGGTTTACGGTGTACTCGAGGACGCTTACTACACCATTAACACCACACGCGCATACACTCTCTATCACATAAATAAATCTGCGTAAACCTTGCCTTGAAATAGTGTCACCCGGGGATGAAAGCAGGCGCACTAAGAGGCCAGCAAAGACGACAAGAGGGAGCAAATAGCTATGGCGAGCGAGGATGTGTGGGGAAGATGGCGGGTGCGGGAGGCCTCTGGCGGCGACGGCAGCAAGCCCTCACCTGCGCCACCAAGACCGCCACACTTGAATACCCTCCCTCCGCTCCTCTCATTCCTTTAATCTTTCACTCCACACCTGCCACACTTCTAAAGCACATCGCACTCCCCTCCACAACACACTATAAACAAGAGCTTGCATTTTACGTTACATGTACACAGTGGGCGACGTGTACCAAGAGCTACGGTGTAATAAGGTCAGCGCGACTGCCACTCACCAAAAAATAACATCGCTTCTTACTCGTTGAAATATTACGTTTGTAATATATAATAACTCATAAATAATGTCTTTATTATCATTAAATACAGGAAAATGATACAGAATACATGAAAGTAAAATACATATGGGTATCAAGTGCACAAATTCACCTGTTACCGCAACTTGATGGAACACAAATATCAAGGAAACAGGGAATTATCAACATCACAAGTATATCAAAGTAATACCAGGAAATCATAATGAAATACTTAATAAATCGCTAAAGTCTTTTTTTGTACAGATCTATACATATTTTATGCAACATTATTGTCTATGAAACCTAGTACAAAGTTTGCGTTTCAACCAATGGGATATCACATTACTAAGAATTTCCACCAATCAGCAGCTAGCTTTCTAGTGTGTCTCCGAAGGCTCCGTCTGTTTCTCTCAGTGAATAAACATTTGGTAAGGCAATAAACTGAATATGAATATTATTCATCAGCAATATTTAACCTATCAGATTATAAACGTTCATAGAAATTAATGACTTTAAATATTTTGACAAAATTCTTGATTTAATTAATAACGTTGTATTATTCGTAAAGAAAGAGACGGAGCTCAGGGCACCTTCCCATCAGGCCTCAGATTGATCAGCGCATGCGTAAACAAGACATTGCAAATGGCGGCGAATGTTATTGTTTAATGGAGTCTGTAATATTTCACAATCATGCCTGGATTTACCCCTATAACAGGTAAGATGCGCCGAAATGATGGTGTAAGAAAGCAAGTTTAGTATCTCAAGAACAAATTACAGTGCAAATGGACGGTTAAAAGTGGCAAGTGAGTGGAAAAATCATTTTTCACAAAATGGTGTATGGAACGAGTGACGTTCGCTTGGCCATAGCTAAGACCGAAACCTATAGCGTTTTTGCTGAAATAATCTGCTAACGCTTGGCCAAGTCAGTGGAAACCTGAGTTAACTGTGACGCTTGGATATAAGTGCTCCTTATAGTTAGGAAGTGAAGTGTAAGATGTGATGATGGGGAGAAAGAAAAGTGGTTGAAAATACGGTGGTATTGGTGGCTTGGCAGGACCGTCCGTTTGTTGTTGTGGGCTGCGGCCCTCTCCAATTCTCCACCATCGGGATTTACGCAATATTTCCCCATACCTGGACACGCCTACTTCGCCAATGGTGTGTAAATACGTTGGGTGTGTCTTAGGATTAAGTGTGTGAGAATAACATTTGGCAACCAACACCAGTTTGTTGTTATTTGTGGTGGTTAGTATTGAGAACGGCATGATCAAGTGCCCCTAGCGTCGGCTCTGCCGCTCCTCAACACAACCCATTCTATACTCCTTAATTTAGGTTTACTTAGGTTAACACTTAATGAGTGCATGTAAATGTAGGGATATTCTCAACTATTTTTTATAGTTAAAACGTAATTAAGTAATATTTGAGTAGGCACTTTAGATCAGGCCAAGATCTGTCACTTTCGTGCTGTGCTTAGGTACTGTGGATATGTGAAATGGTTGCCCATAGGACAGTCATTTAGCGTTAAAATACAGTGCGAGGGGTATAGATTTACAGTACTTTAAGGTCAGGATACATTTTTAAAACAAGGAATGTGAATGCATTCAAAATGGTATTTAGGAAGGTTTAAAGTTTTATCATATTAAATGTGTTAATATACAACACATCTACTTAAGCATATACAATATATAAATTTGAATTTGAATGAATAACTCTGGTTGTGCCTTCAAATTTAGTTCTCATGCTTTAAATGTATTTAAACATAACTGTACAGTATAGTGCTTCTTCTTATAGGTAGAATCTATTTGCTTTAGTTAGTTAGCAGCAACAATAAAATGGTTTCAAATGTGCAGTACAGTCCTTCAAACAATTTATAATTTGGCACTTGTGTTAATTCTGAACTTTCAGTTGAAAACAATACAACGCCTTTATTGAAATGTGGTAAGGTTTACCTTTCAACATTTTAATGTAGTAAGGTGATAGATGTGCCTGAACATAAATTAACAGGGTACCTATGGCACCTACATATTTACACAAGGTCATAAGGTATTTGTTTGAATTAGGCAGTTATACTTTGTAACCAGTGACACTATCATGAATTTACCTTGTAAGGACATGTTCAGTATTGTTTAAAATTTCATATGTATTAGTTGGAACTCTATTTACACACACACACACACACATTATACATATATATATACACACACATACATACACAGTATATATTTATATTAATATATTGTGACTCCTCGTCTATATATTAATATAGTGTGTATGTATGTGTGTGTGTGTGTATATATATATATATATATATATATATATATATATATATATATATATATATATATATATATATATATATATATATATATATATATAATATATATATATATATATATATATATATATATATAATATATATTGTATGTATATGTAATGGTGGTACCACCTCTGGTGCAGCTGTAGGGAACACAGCCTTTAGAGAAAAGCTTGTCATTTAACTCTGGATATGTATGAGTGTTCACTTCTCTTACCACACCCCCTTTTTGTTGTTGTTTTGTTGTACACTTTATTTTACAAGGCATAATATATTATACTGTATATATATGACAATGTCAGACCATGGAGGAAAATTGAAACAGGAATTTCCTTAAGTACTTTCGTTTATTAATACATTCGTTCGAATGGTTCGATTGAATGGAAGGGTTCGAAATTACAAAAGATGAGGTCAAGAAGCACCTATTGGAGCTGGACGTGAGAAAGGCTGTTGGGCCGGACGGAATCTCAACATGGGTATTGAAAGTGTGTGCAGCTCTTTGTTTGCCACTCTCCATAGTGTATAGTAGGTCACTGGAAACTGGAGACTTACCAGAAATATGGAAGACAGCTAATGTAGTCCCACTATACAAAAAGGGCGACAGACAAGAGGCACTGAACTACAGGCCAGTGTCCTTAACTTGTATACCATGCAAGGTAATGGAGATCGTGCGAAAAAACCTAGTAACACATCTGGAGAGAAGGGACTTCATGACAACCCATCAACATGGGTTCAGGGAGGGTAAATCTTGCCTTACAGGCTTTATAGAATAATACGATCAGGTGACAAAGATTAAGCAAGAAAGAGAAGGATGGGCGGACCCCATTTTTTGGACTGTCGGAAAGTCTTTGACACAGTACCCCATAAAAGGCTGATGCATAAGCTGGAGAAACAGGCAGGAGTAACTGGTAGGGCACTCCAGTGGATAAGGGAGTACCTAAGCAATAGGAAGCAGAGAGTTACAGTGAGGGGTGAGACCTCAGATTGGCGTGAAGTAACCAGTGGAGTCCCGCAGGGCTCTGTACTCAGACTTATCCTGTTTCTGATATACGTAAATGATCTCCCAGAGGGTATAGACTCGTTCCTCTCAATGTTTGCTGACTACGCCAAAATTATGAGAAGGATTAAGACAGAGGAGGACAGCTTGAGGCTTCAAGAAAACCTGGACAAGCTGCAGGAATGGTCGAACAAATGGTTGTTAGAGTTTAACCCAAGCAAATGTAATGTAATGAAGATAGGTGTAGGGAGCAGGAGACCAGATGCAAGGTATCATTTGGGAGATGAAATCCTGCAAGAGTCAGAGAGAGAAAGACCTGGGGGTTGACATCACGCCAGACCTGACCCCGGAAGCTCATATCAGGAGGATAACATCAGCGGCATATGCCAGGTTGACTAACATAAGAACGGCCTTTAGAAACTTGTGTAAGGAATCTTTCAAAACATTATATACCACATATGTCAGACCAATCCTGGAGTATGCGGCACCAGCATGAAGTCCATATCTAGTCAAGCATAAGACTAAACTGGAAAAGGTTCAAAGGTTTGCCACCAGACTTGTACCATAACTGAGGGGTATGAGCTACGAGGAGAGACTACGGGAATTAAACCTCACGTCACTGGGAGACAGAAGAGTTAGAGGGGACATGATCACCACATACAAGATTCTCAGAGGAATTGATAGGGTAGATAAAGACAGACTTTTTAACACAAGGGGCACACGCACTAGGGGGACACAGGTGGAAATTGAGTGCCCAAATGAGCCATAGAGATGTTAGAAAGAATTTTTTCAGTGTCAGAGTAGTAGACAAATGGAATGCATTAGGAAGTGATGTGGTGGAGGCTGACTCCATGCACAGCTTCAAGTGTAGATATGATAGAGCCCAATAGGCTCAGGAACCTGTACACCTGTTGATTGACAGTTGAGAGGCGGGACCAAAGAGCCAGAGCTCACCCCCTGCAAGCACAATTTAGGTAAGTACATCTTCAGGAGGAGTCTGAAGATGTATTAATATACGAAAGTACTTAAGGAAATTACTGTTTCAATTTTCCTCCGTGGTCTGACACTGTCATATATATACAGTATAATATATTATGCCTTGTAAAATAAAGTGTATATTTTTAATCAGGTGTTTATTTTCGTGATTTACACACACACACAAACACTCATTGTGTGTGTGTGTGTGTATGTGTGTATATATATGTATATATATGTATATATATATATAAATTTACAGTGCAATATACAGTGAAAATACAGTCTACAGGAAAGACTGGTACCAAAATATACTAATATATATATATATATATATATATATATATATATATATATATATATATATATATATATATATATATATATTAGTATATATATATTTAGTATATTTTGGTAGCAGTCTTTCCTGTAGACATATATTATTAAATATGACCGAAAAAGTAAGATTAATAATTCTAACACAAATTTTCTCAATCTTTCGTACATTACGCTTCACTGTTGGAGGTAAATCAAAAATCACTTCTCCAAAATTCATTTTTATTTCTAGTCTGACGCGACACGGGCGCGTTTCGTAAAACTTATTACATTTTCAAAGACTTCACAAATACACAACTGATTAGAACTTACGTCTCTCTGATATTATATCTACATTTGAGTGAGGTGGGAGGGGTGATGTGGCATTAACACAAGACAGAACAAGAGGGGATATTAATAGGGTATTAACACAAGACAACACAAGACAGCACAAGTATCAACACAAGACAGAACAGAAACAATGGGTATTGAATAGAAGTGTTTGTAGAAAGCCTATTGGTCCATATTTCTTGATGCTTCTATATTGGAGCGGAGTCTTGAGGTGGGTAGAATATAGTTGTGCAATAATTGGCTGTTGATTGCTGGTGTTGACTTCTTGATGTGTAGTGCCTCGCAAACGTCAAGCCGCCTGCTATCGCTGTATCTATCGATGATTTCTGTGTTGTTTACTAGGATTTCTCTGGCGATGGTTTGGTTGTGGGAAGAGATTATATGTTCCTTAATGGAGCCCTGTTGCTTATGCATCGTTAAACGCCTAGAAAGAGCTGTTGTTGTCTTGCCTATATACTGGGTTTTTTGGAGCTTACAGTCCCCAAGTGGGCATTTGAAGGCATAGACGACGTTAGTCTCTTTTAAAGCGTTCTGTTTTGTGTCTGGAGAGCTTCTCATGAGTAGGCTGGCCGTTTTTCTGGTTTTATAGTAAATCGTCAGTTGTATCCTCTGATTTTTGTCTGTAGGGATAACGTTTCTATTAACAATATCTTTCAGGACCCTTTCCTCCGTTTTATGAGCTTTGGAAAAGAAGTTCCTGTAAAATAGTCTAATAGGGGGTATAGGTGTTGTGTTAGTTGTCTCTTCAGAGGTTGCATGGCTTTTCACTGTTGGCATTGAGGCACATTCCTATGTTTGTTTCCTTAGTGTAGACTGCAGTGTGGAAACCTCCGCCCTTTTCCATGACTGTTACATCTAGAAAGGGCAGCTTCCCATCCTTTTCCGTCTCGTAAGTGAAACGCAGCACGGAACTCTGCTCAAATGCCTCCTTCAGCTCCTGCAGATGTCTGACATCAGGTACCTGTGTAAAAATGTCGTCAACATACCTGCAGTATATGGCCGGTTTCAAGTTCATGTCGACTAAGACTTTTTGCTCGATGGTACCCATGTAGAAGTTTGCAAACAGGACACCTAGGGGAGAACCCATGGCGACCCCATCTACTTGCTTATACATGTGCCCATCAAATAAATAAAAATGAATTTTGGAGAAGTGATTTTTGATTTACCTCCAACAGTGAAGCGTAATGTACGAAAGATTGAGAAAAT